TGAATTATTTTTAACTATTATATTTAGAATATAATTATTATTTTTATTATCTTAACAATCAAATATAAAATTATTTATTTATTTATTAAATATTTATTCTCAATGAATAATTTTTGTTTATTTATAAAAGAAATTTTTACTTTTTATTTTTATTAAAAATAATATATTGTTAATCAACTATATTTTCTTTAACTATTATTTCTATATATAAGAGTAGATATTTTTCATTCTTTTCTTTTTTTTGTTTAACTAATCAATATCAATGAGTAAAAAGATTTATGTAACATACATATATATATATATAAATATATATATATATATATATGTTCATTGTCACGGTTGAATCGTCATTGCATTATGTTCACTCTAACAAACGAACAATAATGATAGATGAGACATATCATCATTTATACATATGAAATTGGTCACTATTGACAAGATATATGTAATAGTAGTGCAACAGAGCATGACTGAACAACGAAAGAAAGAAAAAGAAAAAAGAAAAAAGAAAAAAGAAAAAGAAAGTGAGTGAACGTTTTATCATCTATTCATTTAAGTTTGTGTGTCTATTTGGTGTTGATTGTGTATTTATAATAAAGACTGGCCGCTGATAATAAATCTTCGTCTCCTAGTACAGCAAGTAGTGTTGAAATCTATACAGTAATGGGTTTATTTAATAGTGGAAAAAATGATAAAGTTGAAAAAGTAAACAAATATGAACGACATTATAATGTTCCATCAAGTTCTTCTCATCGTCGTTCATCAAAACATCGTTCTCATCAAGGTGAAAACGGTGTTAGAGCTATGTCTCAACCACCATTAATGCGTATTGCTGCTGGTTATTATCCATCATCTAGTGTTTTTCCTCCACCTCTTATTGCTCCAATGGCTCCTAATGTTATACCTCAAGTTCGATATCCAATATCACAATTTGATTTAAGCAAATATCCATCGCCAACAACATATTCAGTTAATCCATTTGCTGCTGCTACTGGTGGTGGTGGCGGTGGTGGTGCTGCTGCTGCTGGTCAAATGACACCAATGAATGTCAATAATCTTTGGAATAATGGAATGGGATTCGTTAATAATCGATCGGCTTTTCAACAACCATTAAACGATTATCAACAATCTGGTTGGCCTTTAATAACCCCATCATATAATGGATATATGCCACCAATGCAATTTTAAACTCGTCGTTTTTTCTTCTTCTTTCATTTTGAACATTTATTCTAGTAGATATTCATTTAAATAAAATAACATAGTTAAACAATATTCATTCAACCTTTATATATCATCTATTTTTTTATTTTCATTACAATATTAATCAACAAAAACAAATATAAATATAAATATAAATATAAAGATAAACAATTGTTCGATTTATTCAAATAATTTGATATTAACATAGATTTTCATCAATCAAACTAGAAAATATGTTTTTTATTTATTTTATTCAGGATTATATCGAATTAACTGTTTAAATAATAATATTTATATTAACTAATCAAATCAAAGGACAAATGGCGATATGATCAGTTTTCATAGATGAATATTTTTAAAAGATTTATTCTTAGTATACTTTTAGTTGATTGTTGAATCTTTTTTCCTTAACTTTTACTTATCTATAGGTTATTGACATTGCTCATCACGAATATCATATAATTCATTTCTCCGCTTTAAAATACTAGGAGAAACAATAAAAACATCATTTTAATAAACAAAATTAGTTGTTATACTCAAATCATATAAAATTCGAACTTTCAAAAAGAGAAAAACAAAAAAAAAAAGAAAGAAAATTATTTTTCCTGAAAAGATATTTTTAAAATATGATTTAATCAACATCTGATGAGTTCCATACATCATTCAATGCAGATTTTCTTCATCTTTCTAAATATCACCTCAAAAATAAGATTAAACATATACGAAATGATTAAAATGGCTAAAACTGACTGATAATTTAAAAAAATGCTCTTCTTTAACCTTTCATTGCTTAATTTATGCTTGCAAAACTGCGTTAAATCTCATTTCAAATATTATATTCAGATTCAACGAGAGAAATTCCATCTGATGATATCATTAAGATAATTGTTGTCAACCGAAAAAGTTTTGTTAAGTATCCCATAGAGAAAGTTCAAAAACTGAATAGCTAAATACTAATTAGTCCAAAGTATATCAAGCGCGTTCAAAACAGTTAGACAAGGTAATAAAACATTAATTCAATCTCTGTTAAAGCGTTTGAAGCAATTTATAAACTGTTTGAATTTTGAACTTTCTCTATGGGATACTTAACAAAACTTTTTCAGTTGACAACAATTATCTTAATGATATCATCAGAGATGAAGAAAATCTGCATTCAATGATGTATGGAACTCATCAGATGTTGATTAAATCATATTTTAAAAATATCTTTTCAGAAAAAATAATTTTCTTTCTTTTTTTTTTTTGTTTTTCTCTTTTTTAAATTTCGAATTTTATAT